GAAGATACACACGTATATTATGTTGTGGTGATCAAGAGTTTGCTCAGTTATACCTTGGGTATTTTCCTTTGGAGAACTTCATAATACTTTTAATGTCATAGATTTCCATGAAATTATGTCCTCCCTGTCTGTGTCAAAATAGATCATCCTTTTCTTTTGCCTCTGCTGGTTTTTATGATTTAAAGGTAAAAGCTGGGTTGATATTGCAAAATAAGATCTTTAAGCTGCGTTTTGCCTCCAGTAATTAGCATTACTCTGTAATTGCTACATCCTTTCCCCAATTTTATGGGAGGGGATTAGCTTTGTACCAGCTTTTATTAAGGATTTGTTGAAATAAACTTATTTTTAAGCATTTGTACTCCACGTGAACAAGCGTTTCAGGTGGGCAGTGGTGGAGCAGCCAGGTGGAACTCAGTGATTTTTAAGGTTTTTCCCCCCAGACCATTGCATGTTCTTTAAAGCCGTCATCAGTCACTCTTCCCAAAGCAGTTTGTAATTCTGTGTGTTGCTGATGTTTCTGCAATTGCTGTGACTCCCCCTGGTGCCAAGGCGTGTCCATTCCAGAGCTCACCACTGGCAGCTGTGCTTAGGAGAAGGTGCAGAAGAGCAGCAGATGGAGAACTGCAGGAACACAAGCCCTGAAGCCCATTCCAGCTTTTTCCAAGATGGGAAGAGGCACTGGTGTCTCCCACACAGATTGCTCTGACCAGCAGCTCTTGATGGGTTTGTCTCTGCCCATGGTGGTGAAATGCTTCAATACATCCATTTTAGTGAGGAATAAGATGTGCAGTGGAACTGGGGGATGATGGGGTTGGACTCTTCCCTGTTTTTTATGTCATTTGGTAAGTGCTGATCTTGCATTAAGATGTCACTGTCAAGCTGGAGAGCATTAGGGAAGAAAGGAGGTGCTGAATTTCCAGCAAGTCGAAGTATTCTCGGATCCCTAGGCACTTTCAGTAAAAATCTGTTGGAATAAAGGATGGCTAAAAAATGTTTTTAATCTAGGCTTTTTAAAATTTCTCTTTTGAGAGTCGCTGTAATAAATCGAAATTATTGATTTAGCCTGTAGCAGTCCTAAGATTCACTCATTTAAGAGTCGAAACTGCTCTATTACTTGGAGCAATAACCCAGCACTGTGAAATCTCTCATCAGAGACTGCAGGGCCACACCTGCAGATGGGCATCAGCAAAAAGATTTCTGTCTGCTGATGGCTCTGGCATCAGCTGAGCTCTCTGTGTGCTTTTCTTGGTGATTCTCTGCCTCCCTCCCCCTGCCCCTGGGGAAGCTTTGCAGCCCAGGCCTGGTCACTAATCCTGGGCTCAGTGGTCACTAATCCTGGGCTCAGTGGTCACTAATCCTGGGCTCAGCTCAGCCCTGGCCAGGTTTAACTTTGCTCCACCTTTTCCCAGAGCCCTGCAGAGAAACAGACTCTGTTCTGTGTCTGTGAGCCCAGGTGAGCTGTACTCCCGTGGTACCAGGTTTGAAATCCCCTACATGAAGTACAGCTTTTGATAGAGCCAGTCCTGCATATGAATAGAAGAAAAATCTTCTTCCAAGGGTTAGTATTTCTCAGGGCACTGAAGGTCTGAATGATCAATAAGTAGTTACAAAGAAATGCTTAATATCACACTCAGAAATGTAAAATTGAAGGTGCTGGTGCAGTTAACACTGGCTGATCTCCCAGGGGTGTGTGCTGCCCACACAGCTGGCAGCAGCTAGTGAGTTTCATGGCATTTTCTCTCCATGTCACTTCTGTTTTGCCTTTTATGCATCTTTTATTATCTTTCCATTAATAGAACATTTCCATTCCACCCTCTTTTTCTAAAACTGTGCTGCTCAGAGGCATTCAGGGGCTCTGCTGCCCGTTCTCCTGGGGCAGCACTTTGCTGCCAGCCTCTGCCAGGAGTAAATTCCCCCATCCCTGACCTGCAGGCTCAGCTGCTGTAACCATCAGCAGCTCCAGCAGGGAGGAGCTGTGGGATCAGCTCCTGGCCCATGTCTCATGCTCACACCCACCCTGCTCAGCTCATCAGGAGTCCTCACTCCCCTGTGCTAGCCCGTGCTCCAGTCTAGCCCTGAATTATTAGCATTTTTATAAATTAAAATAAATCCAAGGAGTGAACTGGCCCAGGGGAACTCTCAATCCAATCAAATTAGACTCATATATCCACCCTGGAGCAATTCCTTAGAAGCCCTGCCTAGAGGAAGCTTCATTTGTAATCACTACGTGCTGTGTACTTTAGAAAAGTTTTATAATTACTTGCTGTTCCGGCTGCTGAGCACTTCTAAATGTTGGATATTAAGGAACTGCTGTTTCAGTCAGTGAACAAGCTCTGAACATTAAATGTGCTTCACGAGAAGCATTTTTTTCTCAGCCATTACACATCTCTGAAGGCATATTTTTTTTCAAGTGGATGTTTTCCCAGCTGTTGATCGTCTCTCTGTTTCTTCTGTGTGAAGAGAGAAGGAGGAAACTGATGATGGTGTGACATTGCATAAAGGCTGCTTTGCTGTGGGGGGAGGTGGGGGCATTACTCACAGATGCAGACACTGGAATAATGATGCAGGTCAGCCTGGAAGAGCACCAAGAAAAGCTTTGTCTTGCACAGTGCACATTTTTCAACATTTTTGTATCTCATGTTTTACGGAAAAAAAATACTTCAGCGTTAATCAGAAATCTGCAGATGAATTTTGGTACCATTTTTTGTAGCCCTCCACCACTAAAGCAGCTCTGTGCCTGGGGAGGACTGGAGATCCCAGCCTGGCAGGTGTTTGTAAAAGGCCATTCCCATGATTTCTTTCACAGAACAGCTCATCAAATGTCCATCATCAGGCACAGGATGGCTTCAGGGTGCTGAGGATCATTTCCAAACCAAGGGCTGTGGTTGATAAAAGATTGGGCAAAACCCAGATCTGTTCTTACCTGTGGCAGCCTCCCACACTCCCCTGCCTTGTCAGCAGCCCCTCGTGGGTCCTGGAGCAAAGCTGGGACTCTGGGGAAAGGGAGAAGAGGTTTGGGAGTCAGGGGCTGCCTGGAAATGAGCTCTTCCCCTCCTCCAGATTCCCACCTCGAGCTCTCTGCAGCTGCCAGCAGGGCTTTTGTTGGAGAGATGCACATTTCCAGAGGATCTTTGGAGAAATGCAGGCAAACTTCTTGATCTGGAGAACTTCCCTGGCGTTCATTAACTCTCAGAGCAGCTTTGATGTGGGCAAAGATTTGTTCTCCACTTGGTGGAAGTGAGAGCACTGAGATAGTCAATCACATAGAAAATCTTTTTCTCTGTCAGTTGCTAAGAAAAAGAACTAGAAATGGTGCAAATAATGTCATTTCAGTGTCATTAATCTAAGGTATAACAGTGCCTTTAGCAGCCAAATGAACGCTGCAGCTCAGGTGATTCAGGTATCTTTGCATAGGATGGTGTTTGCAGACAAATGACCAAGTTCCACCCAGTGTATATTCACTTGGAGGTGTCCCAGGAGTGTGTGAAGCACAGTTATTGCAGCTGCCTCGTATTTACAGGCTGTAAGATTTATTTAGTAGGAGCTCTTCAAATGGCAATAGGCTGGGTTTGAGTTATGAATTGCTAAACCCATCCATCTATCACATTACTGCCCCAAATCCCTCTGTAAATGCAGGCAGGGAATGTGCCACTGTCACCAAAGTGCTCCAGTGGCTCTCTTTTGACACAGCAAGGAAACAGCAAGGAAATAAATTTCAAACATTAGGCAGTATTAAGACTTTTCAGAGGGAGCCATCCAAATGCAAACCCATAATCAAAATAATAATTATCAGGGGAACCATTTGCTTTCAAAGTAATCATGCAAAGTAAAGCACAGAATATGTCTTAAATAGCAAAAAATGGTGATTTCTGTTCAGAGGGAGAAGGAAAGTCTAGCACTTGAGGATAGAAGTGCTTTGTACATGATCAGTTCTTGATGGATTTTCTCAAAAATGGGCCTTCATGTATTGTTTGTAAAAAAGAGAGGAAAAATTGAAGCTGTTGCGTGATGAATGCAGGCAGAGGTGTGATGAGGCTGGGATTGGGTTACTGAGCTAGGAAGTTACCTGTCATTCTCTTCATTTTCAAATCATTTCAGCGTAGGGTTAGATTGCAGGAATATTCAGTGGAATATTAAACACTGTGGGAAGGCATTTGGAAAGTTCCAGAAAAGTTAATGGGTAATTTCTAATGAAGGGAATTGAAACTTTTTTCTTTTTTTTTTAATTAAACTAGCAGCTAGTCCAGCAAAGTTCTTTCATATATTCTTATTATTTCTGGTGTAGTTAAAGAAATTTAATGTGAGGGAAACATTTCCAGCCTGTCTTTTCATATTTGGTTTTCAAATTTGTTTACTGGGTTTGTGGTATGTTTTACCTGCCACAGCTTTTTACTTTGTTTGGTCTCAGCTGCCCAAGATTTTAATTTCCAGAGAGCATCTCTAAGGTTAGACAAATAATGTCATTTTTTCCTTTAATCATGTTAATTGTTTTAATGGCTTCCCCACACCAGTCACACTGAGCTTCATTGCTGAGGATTCCTGGGATTCTGGTGGTGGACATCTTCAGGAAACCTTGGTTTTCTTTTTGACTGCAGTAATTGTGCACCCCTCAGCCTTCATGAGATGCACTGGCCTTGACTTTGATTGATCAGAGTTCAAATCCAACTCAGACTATGAAACATATTTGCAAAATGAAATACAAAACATGGAATGGAATAATAGTAGTAGTAGTAGTAATAATAATAATAATAATTAATAATAATTTGCCTTCATCAGCTACAATAACCTGGATTGCATCTCTCCACAGGGCCCATAGTAAAATAATTTGAATAATTTTGGGTAATTCCAGTTTGTGTGCTCCAGGGCAGCTGTAGGTTGGGAAAAGGACCTCGCTAAAAGCGTGATGTGTGCATGTAAACAGCTGAATGTCCAGGATTAATGTGATTCACTCCTTCAGCCCAAGTAATGGCTCTTCCCTTTGCCTGTTGTGCCCTCCCCAGGAGCACCAGCCTGTTCCACGAGGTCGTGCAGCTGGACTTTGAGATCGCCAGCTTCAGCAGCCTGTCGGGCACGCAGCCCATCAGCTGGCAGGTGGAGTACCCCCACCACGGCTCCTCCGACACCGCCCTGGCCGAGATCTTCATCTGCCAGAAGGACCTGGTGGGAATCGTGCCCCTGGCCATGGTAAGAGCCCTGCCCTGGCTGGGAACCAGCGGCAGCCTCAGCTGGGAGTGCTGCCCGCCCCAGCACTGCCCCTGGAGCCATCCCTCACTCACCCTCCTCTGGGCACATCCCACTGCTGCAGGGCCTGCACACCGACCAGGAGAGGAGAGCTGGGAGGAGAGGGATGGTGGGAGGAGAGACATACTGAGAGGAGAGAGATACTGAGAGGAGAGGATAGCTGGGAGGAGAGGGATCGTGGGAGGAGAGAGATACTGAGAGTGAAGGGATGCTCAGAGTGAAGGGATGCTCAGAGTGAAGGGATGCTCAGAGTGAAGGGATGCTCAGAGTGAAGGGATGCTCAGAGGAAAGGGATGCTCAGAGTGAAGGGATGCTCAGGGGAGAGGGATGCTCAGAGAAAAGGGATGCTGCCTCTTCAGCCATCTCCCATAAGTTTAAACCCTGAATTTCTTGGCTTTTCCCACAAAGCCCAGATGATTTTCCTTCCTGTTTCTGATTGCCTTGAACTCGGAAGCTGCAGAGCGACTCCAGAGGGCCTCAAGGACCTTCTGCTGAAGGCCAAGTTGCTTGGTCCTTAGTAGGCTGAGGCTGATACTGATTCTCCTGCTTGATGACCTGATAGTGTAAGAACTTTTGGTTTCAAGTCAAAAATGGAAAACAATAATAGCCTCAATAATATATTTAAGAATCATGAAGTGCAGACTTTTCTATGGATAGATGGTTTGGGTTAAAATCTACTCTCTCTGCTCAGTGTTTTAGGAAAAGAAGGAATTCCACTGGATCCAGCATTTCAGGTGTGCTGTTGTTAGGCAGGTGTTTTATTTTCTGTTGGTCAGGATTTGGAAGAAGAGTTAGACATAGCTCTATGCTTCTTGTGAATTTTGCCCCTCTGGTGCATCATCTTGGTGGCAGAATTCTGGCAGACTTTTCTTTGAACAGTGTTCAGCAGATAATTAGATGAGTATTATTTCCTGGAAGTCCCAGTCTTCAATATATTCTTCCCCTTTGAAGAGTGAAACTGCAGCTCATATCAAATGAGGTCATGCCCAGCAATTTCCTGATCCACAGTCTGTTAAGTCAGCAGAAAGCCTGCACTGCATTCCAGATCTGAGGGGGAAATAATTGTCCTCATTACCTGTCAGCTTGAACAGAGAATATTTATTGGAGCATCTGTCCTCCAAGGACTGGAGAACGTGCGTGAAGAAGAATTCTTGTGGTCAGATTTTATTTTGAGATAGATGCCTTCCACTACCAAACAACAGCCATGTGTCTGCTGGCAGACTTTGTGTCTTCTTGCTCATTTCCTGAAAGAATTCATCAGCTTCTCTGTGTTCCATATCTGAGGGAATGGAGATTCCAGTATCTCCTGTCAGGGTGTAAGGCCTTTGCACTTGGGTTCTTGCAGACTCGTGTCTATTCTGCATTAAAATTCATCTGCCTGAGAGGGTTCTGTAAGAACTGGAGGTCTAAATGGATGAGTTTAGTGTTGTATAAATCACGTAAGGCGAGATCCTTTATTCCCAACAGACTGCCAGTAGGCACTGTGGGTTCAAACAGAGGGCTCAAACAGTGAAATCATTAAACCTTTCTCCTCACAAAGCCTTCATGTGTTTATCTCATTGCTGTGCCTTGTGATAACACTTAGCAGAGCCAAAATACACCGAGTTAACAGAACACAGTTGGATAGAACACCAGAGTACAATGGGCTTGACTAGCAGGATATTGGTAGATAAAGGGAATTTTGACTTTTCTGTTAGCTAACACTGCCTGTCGAGCCAGGGTGCTTCCTTCATGCAGACATTAATCTCCAGCTGAGCTGTCACCTGGCGCTTCTGCTCAGAAACAAGAGTCCCAAAACAAAGCAGAGGGCAATATTGTCTGTGCTGAGAAGTCAGGTCAGTCTCTATCTCCAGTGCCCAGCAGAGCAGCAGCACGTGATTGTGTACAGAAATCAGATCTCAGTGTTTAGCAGCAGGTGGGGTTCATAATCCTCTGGAAGGGAAAGTAGATTTTGTTGATTTAAGCGTGGAGTGTTGCAGGGTAAACCTGCTAAAGTCAAAGCTGTCACTGCACATTTCTAGAAGTGACCAGGAAAAGGAGCTGCAGCATCCCAGGGTGCAGGGGCTGCTCATGTCTCTGGGCTGAGGGACAGCCTGGCAAGTCCTTCAGCAAACTTCTCCCTGGGCTGGGATAACACAAAGGCTGTCCCTGACCCATGGAATAAAGCTTGTCTCGTGTGAGCTCTTCCAAACTTATGAAGCAAGAAAGATGATGTATCTTTTATTGCCCTGTGCCTGATTACATTACAGAAAGAGCAGTAAGATGAAAACCAAGTCTTCTTCAAAAGATTAGTGCAACTGTTGCTATAGTGTTTTGAAAGAGATTAAAGAATTGACATTGTCAGCAAGAACTGAACCTGAAATTTTAAGAGAGCCTTGTAGGGCTTGGATCAGTGGAGCAAGAAGTAGGGTAAAGCTGCTGAAAAATGGATGGAAATTCCTCATATAGTCAAAAGAGGGGGTTTTAGCAGAATCCATATTCTACGTGCCTAGATAGTGTGTACAGGTAAGGAGCAGCAGCACAGAGATGTGCTACAGGGAAATTACAGGAGCAAGAGGCACCAAAACCTCTGGACTGACAGTCATATATATCAGTAAAGAGAAGCTCCTTCACGGGGGGGAAGATGGGGAATCACTGATTTAATATTTATGCAAGCCCATCTGGGTCCCTGGACATGGAGCTGGAGCATGTCCCTCCCCAGCAGGATGCTCTCCCTCCAAAGCTGCTCCACAAGTGTGACTCGCATGAAATGCAGGAATTAAAATGCTGAAGCATAAACTCAATGTCAGCAGTCTGTTCCGAGAGTTCTACTTCAAATTTACTTCAAAGGCCACTTGTCACCATGGGAAGCCATGCAACTTGCTCATCCATGCTTCTTTCCTCTTTAAAATAACTCTGATTTTCAGTGGGTCTTTTGGGTTTTGCTCTTGAGCCTCTGTGATCCACTGGTGCCAACCTGGAACAGGCTCAGGCATTTCTGAGTTTCTTGCTGCAGGTTCACGTGCCCAGGAGTTTGTCTGCTCTCCCCAGCTGTACCAGTGGGGCTCATAAAGGATGGAATAATCTGTCTGTACATGTCCAGCCTTTCTGCTGGTATAAACTGATTCACCTGCTGCTGGGACCTGATTCTTCCACTGATGAGAACTGCTGCACCCACTGATACAAACTGGCTCTCTCCCCTGGGGAACAGCACCCTCTGAACTGCTGCCTCAGCCAGGCTGCAGGTTTTGTGCAGAGAAACCTGGCAGTCCCAGCAGGAATGTGTAGCTGGGACTCTCAGCTGCTCAGTAGGCAATTCCTCATGTGTTTTTTGCTCAGTGCTGAGTTGGTCATTAGGAAGTGCTTGGTTTGGGTGTTTCCTCGTGTTCTGAACTCAGTGTGTTGGTGCTGTGCTGCAGAATCTGAGCATGGACCTGCTGCAGAGCTGTGACTCAGCCAAAACCACTCTTTGGCAGTTTTATCTGTGCTTGTTAACTGGCTTTCCATTAAAAGAGAGGTGATCAAAAACTTAGCTCCCAAAGCACTGTTGTTTTATATACACATTTATGTCTGCTGTTCCCTAAGGTAAGGATTTTTTAAGGTACTTCATTGTAATGAAGTCCCTGCAATACCATTTTAAAATATGGACCTGAATAAATAGAGTTTTCATCCCTGCACAATCTGTGAGTTCACACCATAAAGCTTTACCTAGTTCAAGGTCACACAAGTGCAGAATTCTCCCTCTGGTTCATCTTTCAGTCTTGAATGGAGGCAACAGGCACTGAGGAGCTTTCCAGAAGGAAAAATCCATTTCCTGATTTGCTTATCACAAGCAAACAAACGAACAAACAGATAATCCACGTGTCAGACTTCTCAGCAGACAGCTATTGTCTCAGATAATTCAGTTATGAACCACATGAAATAAATACTGCAAGTTTAGGAAATTTATTTGATGTAAAATTGAGCTATTAATAGTAAAAACTGGGACAGCTTAAATCATCTCTGCAGCTCTGAGTAGCACCATGAAGTTTTCAGGGTTCAGAGTTTGTGTGAAGGAGCAGAGTCCCAGTCTCCTGATGGGAGGGCAGCCACAGGGATCCCTCACACTCCTGGGGCAGAGCTGCACAAACTGTGCCACTTCTGTGGTGGTGCCAGCTGAGCTCAGAGCCCTCCCCACCTCCTGTGTCCCCAGTGTGTCCTGCTGGGTCTGCTGTGCTTACTGACCCCCCTGGGAACAGCTGGCATCTTCCCTGCCTGCCCTTCAGGAGACAGAGCAAAACACAGACACGTTGAGCTCAGATTGCTCAGAAGACACAGACAACATAAAGAATCCAAAATGACTCAATTTAACGCTGCCTTTTTAAGTCCCAGACATCATTTCCACAACCCTTGCACTTTTGCCTTCAGCTTCTGTTTTCCTTTTCTCTACTCAGTCACACTCAGCCCCAGCCTTTGCAGGAAATGAGAATGGATCAATAAGGCAATCCCAGCTGGCTGGAATGGATATTTTCTATGAGTATGTGTCATTTCCTCTTCCAGCATCCCCCATATCTGACAATGCTATAGGATGGATTACTTTGGGATTTTTATGATGCTGAGGAGAGGTGGGGCCAGCTAACTTCCAGATTTTTAAAGATCTCTGAGAAATGTTAATAATGAGGCTTAAGAGATGCTTCTTAGTCTGGGCAGGAGGTGAATCCTGCTGACCAAACCAAAAATTGCAGAACAACAGGAATGTACAGTGAGACAGGCAGCAAGTAATGACTGGCTGCTTGGTGTGCTGATACCAAAATGCTCCTCTGGGAGAGTCAGAAACCTCTAGAAGATTGTGTGTGTGAGCCAAGCTGATCAAAGTCAGGGTGCTGGGTCAAGGTTCAGAGAAACTGAGCTCCCTGAAAGAGAAAGGAGGGACAGCACAGCTGGCAGAGGGGCACAGGATCCACTTGTGTCAGTTCATGGCACTG